CCCCCCCCCCGTGCAAAGTCATTAAATATCAGCTTTCATTAGTATAGGTCTTTTAGAGTGTTTTCATAAACTTGCCTTCATTTGATCCTCTTGATAATCCGTGTTTGAAGTTAACAAGGAATAATTCCCATTTTTCAAATGAGCGTTCTCATCTGTTTTGAGGTTAAGACTTCAAGTGAATTGCTAAAGTTTCTGGATTTTAGTTCATTTCCTCTATACAAGATAACTTCATTATTAATTTACAGAATTTGCCTGATAGTTCAGATGTCCATACAGACTGGTCTCTAATTTAGTGGCAAAATGATTGAATACTGGGTTAAACCAGAAGAGATTAGAGCATATTGGATAATTTCTTAACAAGCAAGGACTAGGGGAAGTTCCTTACCAGTTTAGCACTCTCTTTTCCTACTATTCCTATGCTTCTCAAAACTCTTAAGGGTTCAGAGAGGTGATAAGGTTTGGGTGAAATAATATCTATAGCCACTACTTATTTAGCTTTTATGCTGTGCCTGTAGTATGCTAAGTGCTTTATATTCATGATCTTATTCAATTCTTCCAACAACCCCATGAGGTAGGTATTATGATGGTCCCTATTTTATGGGAGATGACAGTTGAAACTTCAGAATGTAATCATTGGATCACCACTGACTTCTAATTTTAAAATGTTTTTATTATTAAAAATTTTAAGCATATAAGAAGTACAGGAATGAATACCAACAGGAATGAATACCATTATACCTACCATTCAGCTTTATCTTAATGTTGCCATATTTGTTTTAGGCCTTTTTTTTTTTTTTTTTTTTTTTAAGAAATAAAACAGATAGAATCAAAGCTCTTATGGCCCCTTGCCATTCCTCTTCCCTCCCCACAACCAGAGGCAACCACTATCCTGAATTTGGTGTTCCTTATCCCTATGCATGTTTTTGTAATTTAATGATATATGTATCTATGCATACACAATTTATGGTATTGTAAGTTGCAACAAAAAAAGGGGGATGCTGTAGATGAAAATACAAGACATATCAGTCAATTGCAATGTATGGACCTTATTTGGATACTGATTTTTAAAAATCTTAAAAATACGACATTTATAAAATTATTGGAAATCTGAACCAGATATTTTATTATAAGGAATTCTGGTTATTTACAGATGAAATGATGTGATGCCTGGAATTTGCTTCAAAATATTCTGGTTAAGGCGGGAGGTGGATAGGGTAAGATTAGCTATGGGTTGGTTGATGGTAGTTGTTGGGCCTGGGTGATGGGTATATGGGGTTGATTATGCTATTATGCTATTTTTGTGTATGTTTTAAAATGAGAAAATTATGAAGAGAGTGGTTTGTGCAAGTTAAAAGTTATATGTATATGGTATTGTTTTGCATGCTTTTGCTCCCAGCCCCGTGGAACATTCTTTGAGAGAAGCTCAGAAGAGCCAGCTCTGTGACTCTGGATGTCTTATGGCATAGGAATTTATGTTTTCAGTGGTTATGAAAGATATTGGTCCTTTGTGTTGCTTTTCCATTCTGCCTGGGAAGTCAAGGGAAACCTGTGCATAATAAGGTGGCTTAAATTATTTTTACCAAGGCACCAAAAACCCTCATTGTTGTCCATATCTTTCATGTATATTAGAGGGTGAAGTGAATTTAGAGGGCTCTGCCATTTGCTGACCAACCCTGGGCAAGTCTATCATAAAGGTGGTAGAAAAAATACAAGAAAAAGCATTGCCTTTGCAATCAGACCTTAGTTTGGATCCTTGTTCTAGCATTCTTAGTTCTATGTTGAGTTACTTGGTTGAGTTACTTTATGCCTTTGAACTTTAGTTTCCCAAGAGTGAAAATCTGTTGAACTCTTTATTTGGTCAAGCAGGTACTTGGACTAGACTTTTTGGAAGGAGGTGGAGTGAGAATGGGGGTAAGGGCTCAGAAAGGGCTTCTTAGAAATGTAGCTGCTTAACTCCAGTGCCTGTAATACTTGTGCTTAACAACCACAAACTTTAAGTAAAAAAGAAATTTTCAAAAGTCAACTTCTGCCTAAAGAAATAAAAAACTCAGTCACTGGGCAGAGAAATTAGGTTTCTGTTCATAGAGGTACCTCTTCAGTGCCTGAACTCTCACAATTGCTGGTAAAATAAGAGAAAAGGTCTTAGAAGCTCTAAGTTTAAATACATACAACAGAAACCTCAGCTTCTTTGATAAGACCTATGTTACAGTTAAGTTGAAGGAGTTAAATTAGAGTTCTAAATGTCTCCCAGTGCTTGATTTATAATAGGTACGTAATATTTCTTTCCTTTCTGTCCCACCTAATTTCTAAGATTAGTAAGTTTAACTAGGTTCCTTCTTTCTTTTATTTATTACCCACCCAGTTTTATTGAGGTATAATTGACATAATATTGTATTAGCTTAAGGTGTTCAACAGAATGATTGGATATATGTATATATGGTCTTATAATTGCCACAATAAGTTTAGTTAACATACATCACCTCACATAGTTAAAATTTTTTTTCTTGTGATGAGAACTTTTAGGATCTATTCTCTTAGCAAATTCAAAGTATAAAATATAGTGTTGTTTACTATAATCGCCATGCTGTGCATTACATAGGTCCCTTTTAATTCTAAAATTCTGTAATTCCTTCCTTTCCTTCTAACTCTTTCTCTAGTACTTTATTGTTCATATCATTTTACATTTTCTCATAGTGGTGTGTAATTTTAAATGTTGCCTCCCTGGCAAGATTATACATTCTTTGAGGGTGGAAATAGTATCTTTATTTCTTAGAAATTATTTAGAGTCACATTATCTAGCTCAGTGCTGTGTGATGATAGTAGCTCGGAAAATGTTTTCTGTAAGAATGCATGAACTAAAGCTAAAATTCCAGGTGTGGCTGGGTCAGTGTGGCGTAGCAGTTGAGCATCGACCTATGATCCAGAAGGTCGAGGTTCAATTCCCAGTCAGGGCACATAACCTGGTTGTGAGCTTGATAGGAGCATGCAGGAGGCAGCTGATCAATGACTCTCATCATTGATGTTTCTCTCTCTCTCCCTCTCTCTTCCTCTCTCTCTGAAATAAAAAATATATATTAAAAAAAAATTTCCAGGTGTGGTATGGAGGGAAGTGGGATAGGCAAAATTCACAGTTAAAAGGCTATCATGAATTTCCCAGATTATTCAGTTTAGTGTTTAATTATTTCTTAGAGCTTTTCAGATGTTGACATGTAATATGTAAAATATTAGCTTTCTATAATTTTTCCCATCTAGAAAATATTTATAGATCAGATTCATCAGTGGCTGTTAAAAACTAGGTTTTAATTAAATGAGTAATACATAAATATTCAAGTGGAAAAGTAAGATGATACTAAAATCCCCCCTTGACCTCTCTCAGTCCCTCCACAGGTTATAGCAGTCATCAATTTTGTGTTTGTATTTTTTCCATTTTTGCATCTATATATCTGTTGAAAATGAGACTTTTGTATGTGTGGTCATGATTAACTTTTAGATCTTGGTGGATTCTTAGACATTGCCTGGTCCCCCTTCCCCATTTTATAAATGAGGAAACAAGTTCAAATGGTTAAGTGTCTTGCCCGAATTATAGCTGGTTAGTGACAGAACTAGGACTATAACCCAGGTCTTTCGACTCCTAAGCCAGTATTCATACTAAAGCAAATGATATCCTTAAAGTACAAATCGTTGGAACAAAACTAGTTCTTTAGTTGCATAATTTTTCCTCTAAAGGTTTTTCTTTGATGTTCTTGACTCAAAATTTAACACTCTGGTATTTAGAAAAAAAAAAATCAAGATGAAAATTAATAGATGGAGCACCTTAAAAGCATAATACAGTTGACTTTGTAATTAGTAGAGTTGAAAGTGATGAGAAGATCCTCTAATTTTCTTTGTACCTTCAGGAAGGTGGGAGTCAATCATTTTGACAAGTCTCCAGAAAGGAACAGCTAGCAGGAGCTGAAACCTTTTTCCATTTGGTCTCGTAGCAAAGGCAGAGATCACGCCAGCAGCTCCACACAGTATGGAAAACAATTCTTATATTCTTAATTTTTTTTTTTAAATTTTAAAAGTAATACGTTTGTTTTTTTTAAAGTGTAAACTATGAAAACCCAAACATTTTACATAATATATATTTGTTTTGTTTGTATGTTGTGGATATTATTGCATGGTAGTATATACAGATCTCGTTTTTTTAAATACAGTAGTCTCCACTTGTCTGCAGGGAATATGTTCCAAGGCCTCCAGTGGATGCCTAAAACTACAGGTAGTATTGAACCCTATATATACTGTGTTTTTTCCTATATATACATACCTTTTCACTTAATGGGAAGCACACTACAGCTTCTCTTTGGCATATATGAATTGCCAGCATTACTACTATTGTGCTTTGGGGCCATTATTAAATAAAATAAGGGTTATTTGAACATAGGCACTTTAATACCACAACAGTCTTTCCGATACATGAGGTGGCTACTAAGTGACTAATGAACAGGTAGCATATATAGTGTGGATATGCTGGACAAAGGGATAATTCATGTCCTGGACAGGACACTGTGGGTACGCATGAGGTTTCATCGCACTACTCAGAATGGTATGTGATGTAAAACTTAAGAATTATTTCTGAAATTTTCCATTTAATATTTTTGAATGTTGATTGACCTCAGATAACTGAAATTTCAGGTAACTGCAATTGGAAAGCAAAACTGCAGATAAGGGGGAACTACTGTAGTTTAAAATATTCCATAGCATGAATGTACCATGGTTTTACTTAATTGTTATCCTGGTGATGGACATGTAGATTGTCTCCGATATTTGGCTATTTTGAAAAATGCTGCTTTGGACAACCTTGTAAATGTATCCATGTGCATTTGTATAGGTATTTCAATAGGGTAAACTTCCAGAAGTGAAATATCTGGGTTAAATGGTATTGCCAAATTACTATCCACAAAACTGACAGAGTATGAGGGTGCTTTTTTGCACATTCTCACCAACCTGGATTGTTATGTCATCTTACTTTTTACCATTTTGATAGGGGGAAAGTGTCTCATTGTTCTTAATGTGTATTTCCATGATTCTGATAAAGTTAAATATCTTAAGATTGTTTTTCATGTTACAAGTCACAGTGTAAAGAATTTGAAATGTTAGGATGCCACCACTCTATAGGGCAGATTGGAATTGATATAAAGAGCATTTCCTGTTCCTTAGTGAAACTGCCTCTTATCTATCCAGATATGATGTGCCCACTAGTGCCCTCTAGGGGTTCCGTGGATGAGGATGTGTTGGATGACTCCCTGCTGGACCTGAGTGAAGGAGAGGAAGATGATGGCCGTTTCAGCTTCACAGAGGAGGAGATAGAGAACTACTTGAAGGATGATAATCTATCTGATGAGGACGAGGAAGATTCATTGGACAGCACTGGATCAGTAGCTGAGACTCCTGAGCTCTTCAAATTACCTCAAAGTACTCCGGTTGGTCAGGGACCAACTCCTACAAAACCATTAAACAGACCCTTTGCAATAGAAAAGAATCTTGTAAAATTAACAGTTGTTGCACCATTTAATCCAACAGTTTGTGATTCTGTGCTTGATAAGGACAAGACTGATACATCCAAAGCTATTGAAAAACCCTCCTCCCTTGGACAAGACATAAGAGAAGATGGTCTTAGCCCAAAAAAGAGCAAACTTTGCACTAATTCTGAAGGGATTGTCCCCAATAATTCTGCCTGGGATGGGCCCCCACTCTCTTCTCCTTCAAATAATAATTTTCAACAAACTGTCCGTGATAAAAGTATGCCTGATAGTAAGAAATCTACACCTGTAGTGTCTCAGATCTTGGACCATTCAGAGACTCCTCATATAGGGTCATCCTGGAGAAATGGATCACATAAAACAAGTTGTGAAATGAAGTTTCCAGTTGTTTCCAGTTCGTCAAACAAAGTAAGTATATTTTTTCAAGGTACAGAGAAAAAAATTATTTTCATTCAGAAGCTATATAGCAGAGCTTTGTATTCAGACATACTGGGGTTTGAATCCTGTCTAGCACTGTGACCCTGGACAGATTATGTAGCCTCTCTGTTCCCTCACATTTCTTACTTATAAATTGGAGTAAATAATATTTTGTGGTATAGTAAAGATTAATAAAATTGTGTATTTACAGTAACATGCATGATATTAAATTACCATTTATTGAATAATTAGTAAGTTGATGACTTTATTAGTATTTTTCCTTTCTTTGGGCTTTAGCCTAAGTCTCAGTCTTTGGTTATATTGCTATATTAGATACAGCACCAGCTCTGAGTCAGCCTCAGAAGAGCTAAAAAGTCTTGGGCAGTTTAGTTAACCTCTTTGAGCCTGATTCCTTTCTTGCAAATGGGTTTAATAATCCCTGCTGCTTAGGGTTCTCCCCCCCCCCTAAGATCGCAGTCACTATCTCATTTAAAGCAGCTGTCATAGTGCCTGGTACACAGTGGGGTCAAGGATATGCCTCAGAGGCCTTTAGTTCAAGAATATTTCCATAAATAGTGTACTCAGTTATTCTCTTATAACTAATAACCATGTTTCCTTTTGCATTTCTTCTGCTCTGAAAAAAAAAGGATGCTCTTGACAAGGATTCTGGAAAGCTGAAAGTTCCTGAGAGAATAGGCAAAGTCATTCCTGTTCTGCAAGCCAAAACAAGGTAACAGTGTAATGAAATATTCTGGTTTCTTCCTCAGTTTCTCTCCTCAGTTTCCCCATAGTGTGGGAAAAAACTCTGCGCCAGGAGTAAGCATACTTAACATTCTGGGACCACCTATTGTTGTGACCTTGGGCAAATCAAATAATCTCTGACCTCAGTCAGTAAAATGAGGCTAATGGTGCCTTCTCTGCTGCCTCACAGGATTGTTTTGAAGAGTAAAAAAAGACATATTAGTGAAAGCACTGTATAAATGTAAGATTTCCTTTCCTGTGTATGGGTAAGCCTGGTCACAGATACAGTAGAAAGTTGGAATAATTTTTAACAAAAATGTTAAAATGTAAGTATGTAGAAAATCATTTAGGCATCTCTCCCAACTTGCATACAGCTGTCTTGGGGGAAAATTCTTACAGAGGTTGCAGATTTGGGTCACCTTTTCCATCTATGCTTTTGTTGCCAGGAGATGGCAGTGTCTCCACATGGGCTTTTTTTAATTAGGAAAGCTGTTTTTTTTAGGTTGAGTGACATTGGCTTCCTTACATTGATTAGTTTTAAAATTTTGTTTTGATTACACAGATATTTATTTATTTTTTATTTTTTTAAATATGTCTTTATTGATTTCATAGAGAGGAAAGGAGAGGAATAGATAGAAACATCAATGATGAGAGAGTCATTGACCAGCTGCCTCCTGCACGCCCCCGACTGGGGATCAAGCCCGCCACCCTGGAATCGAACCCCGATTGCCTGGATCCTGGGTCGACGCTCAACCGCTGAGCCACGCCCTGCCGGGCTGATTATGCAGATATTTATTCTGCTTTTGAAATTTTAAAATATTTTTTAAAAGGCTAAAGTCCCTTTTCTGTTTTTTGTTTTGTTTTGTTTGCATAGTTGTGAGAGAAACTTTGTGAATTGCTTACAATGAAAATTATACCGGAGAACATAAGTCAGGCTACTTGGAACAGTAATAAATTGACTCAATATTCTCATCCACAGTCTCCTCAGTATAGTGCAATTAGTATGAGCAAGGGCCAGATGTTCTTGCCAAGGTCACCAATGTTCTAATTGCCAGGTGCACGGGATTCTTTTCTGTCTTTATCTCATTCGGTTTTTCTGTGGCTCTGTGAAGTTAGCTGTTTCCTGACTAATCTTGAATTACTCAACAAATGCTTTTTTTGTCTAGAGACTAGGTAGTCTTCACTTTCCTATGCCTTGTTAACAGGAGGTTTTAATTATTTCTTCTCTCCTTTTTTCTCTCAACTCCATTCTTGATTTCAGCGTAGTACTGTATGGCTAACACTATCTTCTGTCACTGAATCTTAGAGAGTATTTTGCCTCTGAAAGTTAGTTGACTTCTAATTGATCAGCAGTATATGACTTCTGTCAATAAAACATTATACTCATGGTTCTAATGGACTATTTTTCCTCTTGGTTTGCTTTGTTCCAGGACTAATGTTCCGACATTTTCACAATCAGATCTAGAACGGAAGAAGCAAACTTATGTCAGGAGTGTTTTTGCTCATATAAAAGACTCGGTGGACTCTAACCAAGGTAACATGGTAACCAAAAATGGCATGTAAAGATGTGATGGGACTTTTTTCCAATGTAATATAGCTTAAACTGGGAGAATGTTTTGAATTTTCTTTTTATTTATTTATTTATTTATTTATTTATTTATTTATTTATTTATTTTTAAATATATCTTTATTGATTTCAGAGAGAGGAAAGGAGAGGGAGAAAGAGAGATAGAAACATCAATGATGAGAGAGTCATTGATCGGCTGCAGCCCGCAACCCGGGCATGTGCCCTGACCGGGAATCGAACCCTGATCGCCTGGATCCTAGGTCGACGCTTAACCGCTGAGCCACGCCCGGCCGGGCTTGAATTTTCTTAAATTGATGAGAAAGATAACTTTTTACCCAGAAATTTACACTCAAAGTGGCTGAGCTAACCAGTATTAGAGAGGGGTCCAAAGAGACTCATACCATACATGAAAAGTACCTTTCCCATGGTTGAGGGCTATAACCAGACCTATACTTTTTGCCAGGGATTTTTTTGTCTGAAAAACAGTAGAAGTGGTTGTCCAGGCACTGTTCAATAATCCTTGGTTTTTATTTGGAATTACTTATTTTCCCTATTGCCTTTTACATTTAAATGTAAAAAAGCAAGCATTTCAAATTATATCCTGCATCTTGCCATCTGAGTAAAAACTACTAAAAGGCTTTGACTCCCTTCTCGATCCTTCAAGCTGAGTCATCCCTAGTTCATTAAAACCTATTGCAAACCAAAATGGCTAGACTCTTTCTCTAGCCCTCAAGAGACTATATAGTTCATGTTATCATTCATCCTGAACTACTGGCTTATGGGAAACTCCTAAAGGGAAACTTGTGGGCTGTACTGAAGGTGCAGAGATTAGAGCGATACTGACAAAAGAATTCCTTCTCATAAAGGTCACTCCATATTCTGTCATCCTTTGTGTCATTGTCTATTCAGCAAACCTTTCTCGAGTACTTTCAGTGGTGCTAATTTTGAAGATTAGGGATTGTAAATGTAGAGAAGTGAGGTAGAGACTTGGCCCTCTGGGAATTGATAGCCCAGAGAGGGAAAAGATAATTACACTGCAATACTGATTAGTGTTCTAATAGAATTGTGTTTAAAGTGCAGTAGGAGCAGGGAAAGAGCCCTTTTTGTGTTTGGGGAGAGTGAAAGATGGGGAAGGAGGATGCCCTAGGTAGGCTCTACAGAGAAGATAATTAGTTCAGTTACTCTAAGATCACTAAAGAGGGTTTTACAAGAATTTTTGGCCAAAGATCAGACGATTCTCCCCTTTGACAAATCTTGAATTAGTGGGTTTTTCCTTTTTTGTTTTATACAGCTATGAATGAAAGGCTTAGAACTCTTGAGGCATCAGTCAGGAGAATTTTTTATTCCAGGTCCTTTTATTTTACTTTATTTTATTTTACTTTATTTTATATTTTATTTTATTATTATTTTTTTATTTCTGTTAATCCTCACCAGAGGATATTTTTTCCATTGATTTTTAAAGAGAGTGGAAGGGAGGGAGGGAGAGAGAGAGAGAAAAACATCTGTGTGAGAGAAACACATTGATTGGTTGCCTCCCACATGCACCCTGACTGGGGCTGGGGATCAAACCTGTGGCCATCCTTTGGTGCTGAGGCAATGCTCTTACCACTTGGCAACATTGGCCAGGACGGGTCCTTTTATTTTTCACTCAAAGATTTCATTAAACAATCAAATATAATACTGATTGCTCAGCCCTTTGGTTTGTGAGATCCCTTTACTTGAACTATTTTAAAAGTTAGTGGAACTAGGGACACACACACACCCAAAGTCACTGGAGGAACAGATTAAAAGAAGTTTGTCTATATTCAGCCTTTGTGGAAGAGGCTTGATTATTGCTTTTCCCTCCATCAGGTGACTTACTTTATTTTATATCCTAGGCAGTTGACACTGATATATCCAGTTATACATTTTTCTTTCTCAATTGGGACATTTAGAAAAGAAAATTTCACAAAAAAAGCAATGAGCAGCTGCTCATTTTATAGCATCTTTTCCAATCTCTTCCCCCATTCAGCCGTCCCTCTCCCATTTTATTACAACAATGTCTATCCCATAAGGAACAGCTAGAATAACTGGTATAGAGAAAAGGCAGCATATTTTAGTGGTTGGGAGAGTAAAGTCGTAGTCTCAAGTTAACTTCTGGGTTCACATCTAGCACCATTGCTTACTGGCTGTGTGACCTTGAACCAATAAAAACTCAGCTTTCTCATTTGTAAAATGGGGATAATGATGAGGCTTAGCTTATGTGAAAATTATACATGTAAGTACAAGCATAATGCATAGAATAGTACCTTGCTATAGCAACTAACAACATTTATTGAATACTTGGTATTAACAAGGAAGTGTATTTTTTTAAAAGAGATTATTAGCCATAATCTCTTTTTTAAATAAATAGTTCTTAAATTTTATTATTTATTTATTTTAGGGAT